CTCTGGACACGTTCCAGTTTGTCAGTGTCCTTTTTGAACTGTGGTGCCCAGAACTGGACACAGTACTCCAGGTGAGGTCTGACCAGAGCAGAATACAGTGGCACTATTACTTCCCTTGATCTAGATGCTATACTCCTATTGATGCAGCCCAGAATTGCATTGGCTTTTTTAGCTGCCGCGTCACACTGTTGGCTCATGACAAGTTTGTGGTCAGCGAAGACTCCTAGATCCTTTTCACATGTACTGCTCTCAAGCCAGGTGTCACCCATCTTGTATTTGTGCCTCTCATTTTTTGCCCAAGTGCAATACTTTACATTTCTCCCTGTTAAAGTTCATCTTGTTTGCTTTGGCCCAGTTCTCTAATCTGTCAAGGTCGTTTTGAAGTGTGATCCTGTCCTCTGGGGTGTTAGCCACCCCCCCCAGTTTGGTGTCATCTGCAAATTTGATCAGGATGCCCTTGAGTCCATCATCCAAGTCGTTGATAAAGATGTTGAATAAGACCGGGCCCAAGACAGAACCCTGTGGCACCCCACTAGTCACTCTTCTCCAGGATGAAGAGGAACCATTGATGAGCACCCTTTGGGTTCGGTCAGTCAGCCAGTTACAAATCCACTGAGTGGTAGCATAGTCAAGACCGCATTTTACCAGCTTCTTTACAAGAATATCATGGGGCACCTTGTCAAATGCCTTGCTGAAATCAAGGTAGGCTACATCCACTGCATTCCCTTCATCTACCAGGCTTGTAATTCTGTCAAAAAAACGAGATCAGGTTAGTCTGACATGACTTGTTTTTCAGACATCCATGCTGACTATTGGTGATCACAGCATTCCTTTCTAGGTGCTCACAGACTGTTTGCTTAATGATCTGCTCCAGAATCTTCCCTGGTATTGATGTCAGACTGACTGGGCAGTAATTATTTGGGTCCTCTCTTTTCCCCTTTTTGAAAATAGGGACAACATTTGCCCTCCTCCAGTCTGCCGGGACTTCGCCTGTTCTCCAGGAATTCTCAAAGATGACTGCCAGTTGTTCTGAGATCACATCTGCCAGTTCTTTTAATACTCTTGGATGCAGTTCATCTGGCCCTGGAGACTTGAATACATCTAAACTAGCCAAGTATTCTTGTACTATCTCCTTAGTTATTCTGGGCTGTGTTTCCTCTGCTGAATCATTTGCTCCAAATTCTTCAGGTCGGGCATTGTTTTCTTTATCGGAGAAGACTGAGGCAAAGAAGGCATTGAGGAGTTCAGCCCTTTCTGTGTCCCCTGTTTGCATTTCACCATCTTCTCCTCTGAGTGACCCCACTGTTTCTTTGTTCTTCCTTTTGCTACGGACATACCCATAAAAGCCTTTTTGTTGCTTTTAACCTCTCTAGCAAGCCTGAGTTCATTCTGTGCTTTAGCTTTTCTGACTTTGTGTCTACATGTGCTGGCTATTTGTTTGAATTCCTCTTTGGTGGTTTCCCCCTTTTCCATTTTTGTACACATCCTTTTTAATCTTAACTCAGTTAAAAGTTCTTTAGATAGCCACCCTGGCTTCTTTAGGCACCTTCCATGTTTCCGTCTCATTGGTATTGCCTGACGTTGTGCTTTTACTATCTCCCTCTTAACAAACTCCCAGCCATCATGAACTCCCTTTCCTTTTAGTATTACTGTCCATGGGATCTCACCCAGCACTTCCCTAAGTTTTATGAAGTCGGCTTTCTTAAAGTCAAGAAATTGAGTCCTAGTATGCTTGGCTGCTCCTTTCCGCTATATAGTAAACTTCAGAAGAGCATGATCACTCGCGCCTAATGATCCTTCCACTTCTACCCCACTAACCAGGTCATCAGCATTGGTTAGGACCAGATCTAAAATGGCTGTTCCTCTTGTTGCTTCTCCCACTTTCTGGACAATGAAGTTGTCTGCAAGGCCAGTGAGGAATCTGTTTGACCTTATGCTCTTGGCTGAGTTTGACATCCAACAAATATCCGGGTAATTGAAGTCCCCCATTCATTGTCCAGAAAGTGGGAGAATCTCCCTTCCTTTTGCATGCTTGGCCATCTGTTCCAGGAAGGCATCATCTATGTCCTCCGTTTGGCTTGGGGATCTATAGTAAACTCCCACAATGAGGTCTCTGTTATTCTTCTCTCCCTTAATTTTGACCCAAATGCTCTCACTTTGGCTTTGAGGTTCTAAATCTTGGATCTCTTCACAGGTATACAGGTGTACTTCACAGGTATACTCCTGACATATAATGCCACTCCTCCTCCTTTCTTGTCTGGTCTGTTTCTCTGAAATAGATTGTATCCCTCCATTATTACATTCCAATCGTGGGACTTATCCCACTAGGTTTCAGTGATGCCTATTATGTCAAATTTAGTTTGCTGTACCAAGAGCTCAAGCTCATCTTGTTTATTTCCCATGCTTTGCGCATTAGCATACAGACATTGAAGTCCATTAATCATTCCCCCGTGTCTCTTATTTAAGGATTTTTTCCTCCCACCACTAGGTCTGTGTGCTGTTTGCTCCATTTGGTCTATGACATTTAGACACATTTTGGAATTATTCTAGCTGGAATTTTGATTCATCTTTTTGAAAGACAATTTTATTATCAGAGTTAAATTTATCATATAATTGACGATATTGTAGCCAAGTGGTACAAATCTGTCTACGGTCTTCATAATCCCACCTCTCTTTTTATATCTTCCCTACTGACAGTATAAAAACCAAGTTCTATCAGAACATCCTGGCCATTGTGTTTGCGATAAAAGAGATAAATGACAATTCAAAGATCTTGCCCAATGTCACCCTTGGTTTCCACATCTATGACAGCTACTTCAATGCAATAATGACCTATCGAACCATTTTGGACATTCTCTTCAAATGGCAAAGATTTGTCCCCAACTACAAATGTGACACTCAGAAAAACCTCATGGCTGTGATTGGGGGACTTACTTCTGACATTTCTATCCACATGGCAGATATCTTAAGTCTCTACAGGATTCCACAGGTAGAATCGGTGCATAGGGGAATGTGGGGAAGTTTCCTTTGCCATACTTTTATTCAGAAGGAAAAGAGAAATATTAGTGTGAGATAGAAATAACCTGGAAATTTCATTATTTTCCCATAACTAGAGATCTAGTCAGTATTTTTTTCTTAATTCGAACATGGACTACAAATTTGTTAAGGAAATGTTGTACAAAATTATCACTTTCTTTTAGGTCACCTATGGCTCATTTGCTTCAGAGGAGAGTCAATCAATGCAGAAGTCTTTTTATACCATGGTCCCATATGAAGACCTTCAATATGTAGGGATTATTTGGTTACTTCAGTACTTCAGATGGAAGTGGGTGGGGATCTTTGTCGCCAAATATGACAGCGGAGAACATTTTTTGAAGATCCTGGAGCCATTGTTTTCCCAGAATGGAATCTGTTCAGCCTTCACAAAAAGAATCCCACTTCAAGTTCGTATAGAAGATCTGGAAAAAATATCTGGTGAAATTGAAAGTATTTATGAAGGTCTCAGAGATGAAACGGCTAGTACACTTATCATCTATGGAACCGATGGGACAATTGCATGGCTGAGAATGGCTATCTTTATAATAGATAATAGAAATCAGATGGACACATCATTTGGAAAGGTCTGGATCATCACAGCCCAGATAGATTTTGTATCATTCGGATTTCAGAGAAAATGGGATTTCCAGCTGTTCCAAGGTGCCCTTTCCTTTACAATTCACTCAGAAGAACTTCTAGAGTTCAACCACTTCCTTCAGAACATCCAAATACACAGGACCAAAGCAGATGGCTTTTGGAAGGACTTCTGGGAGCAGGCATTTGACTGTCTCTATCCTGAGCCAGGTATGCCTGTCAAGGATGATGGAACATGTACTGGAGAGGAGAGGCTGGAAAGTCTCCCTGCAGGTGTTTTTGAAATGCATATGACTGGCCAGAGCTACAGTATCTATAATGCTGCCTATGCTATAGCTCACACATTGCATGCCATTTCCTCATCCAGATCCGCACACAGAACAGTGACCGTTGGTTACAGTGTTGGATTTCCATCTCTGCAGCCTTGGCAGGTAATGTTACAGAGCCAAATATTCTCATGTCAATGGATCAATTAGGAGAAAGAACACTGGAAGTTCCTTATACAGAGTTTCAGTCATCTGTTTCAGTATTGTGTACTCTAGAGCTTTGCAAACTTAGGTCTCCAGCTGTTTTTAGACTTCCATTCCCATCATCCCTGACCACTGGTCCTGCTAGCTAGGGATGATTGCTCCTTTAGTGCAAAAACAGATGGAGACCCAAGTTTGGAAAGCCCTAGGTGCTCCAACGGGCTTTGGCTTCCCAGGGTTTAAGTGAAGATCAGATTCCCAGTGTTACCTGAAGATTCTGGCAATTGAATCTGGGACCTATCTACCATATTTTTCGCTCGATAACACGCACCTGACCATAACACACACATAGTTTTTAGAGGAGGAAAACAAGAAAAAAAAATTCTGAATGAAACAGTGGATGTATCATTTTTGTGCTTCATGCTGTGGCCACAGACATGTGATTTGACGGTGAGTTTAGGGTAGCAAAAATCCTGAGAATCCATGTGGATCTGTGCTTTGTAACCACGTTTTTGCACCATTGCAGCCCCAGGCAATAGTGGGTGCGTGATTTTTTTGGTGCAGGCTGTAGCCATGGATATGCTATGTGATCTGATGGTGAATTTGGGGTGACCCAATGCAAAGATCCTGAGGATCCATGTGGATCTGTGCTTTGTAACCACGTTTTAAGTGGGGAGGGAAGGAAAAACATAGAAGGGACAAGGAGCACCGAGAGGGGTGTGCGGAGAAGCAGCTGGCTAAGAATGCAGGAGAGGGGTTTTACCGGAGGGAGGAAAGGAAGGCAAAAGTTCCCCCACCCACCCACCCAAGCCAGCCAGCTCTCTCTCTCTCTCTCTCTCTCTCTCCCCCACCTGCATGTTGCCTGCGAGTCCCTAGACGCAGCAGCAGCAGCACCGGAGCACAGAGAGGAATTACGGTAGAAGGAAGGACGCTCTGCTTTCCCCTCTGCTTGCCTGGAGGGGAGGGGTTTTCTCTGCTCTTTGTTCCGTTTGAGCAAACACAGTAACGAAACAGAAGAGGGTGGGCAGTAAGACCCTGAGGCAGAATGCAGGAAAGCAACAGCTTTCTCTCTCGGGAGGCTCGAACGCACGTGTGGCTGCCTGCAATCAGTTTACCACACCGAGAATGAAGATAAACTGGTAAAATAAGGGGGCTGGGTTAAAGCTAAAGGGAAAACCTCAAAGATCCCTCAAGAACAAGGCAGGGGTTCAGGGCTCCCAAAGCCGAGCTGCAGCCTTAGAAGGGGAAAATGGGGCTTTTGGAGGTGGTTTTTACTGCCCCGCTGCTTCCAATTTTTTAAAAGGCAAATTGCAGGAGAAGATGCAGCAGTCAGTCACTCTTTCACTCCCTCCAAGCACCCACGCTAGTGAACAAACACACAGGCAACCACACACTCACAAAGCACACACACTAGCAAACACACAGTCGCGCTGCAGAGTGGCCAAACCTCCTAGCAAGCACTTCCCTGGCTTCAGCTGACCACAACGAAGATGACCCTCGAAGAAAATGTGTGATGCACTCGGGCCAGTCGGCTCCAGGGACCACACATTCGCTCAATAACACGCATAGACATTTCCCCTTACTTTTTAGGAGAAAAAATCTGCGTGTTATAGAGGGAAAAATACGGTATATCAATTCATGTCAATGGACTGATTAGCAGAAGGACAAGAAGTTGCTTTATACTAAGTTAGGCCTCACATCCATCTGTTTCAATGTTGTGAACTCTGTCTGGTTTGGGCTATCCAGGGTTTGAGACAATATGAGATTCCCAGTCTCACTGAAGATTATGGGGATTGAATCTGGGCCTTTCCATTCAAGGAGATGCTCAACCAGGGAGCTGCTCCCCTTTACAGCCCCTCTTCTTATATGTAAAAAACCAGCTGACAAATTATTCAGCATCTTAGTCATGGATAAAAAGGTAAAGGTATCCCTGCCCATACGGGCCAGTCGTGTCCGACTCTAGGGTTGCGCGCTCATCTCGCTCAAGAGGCCATGAGCCGGCGCCGTCCGAAGACACTTCTGGGTCACGTGGCCAGCGTAACGAAGCTGCAGCTGGCGAGCCAGCACCAGCGCAGCACACGGAAACACCATTTACCTTCCCACTATAAAGCGGTACCTATTTATCTACTTGCACTTAGGGGTGCTTTCGAACTGCTAGGTGGGCAGGAGCTGGGACCGAACTACGGGAGCTCACCCCACCGCAGGGATTTGAACCGGCGACCTTGCGATCGGGAAGTCCTAGGCACTGAGGTTTTACCCACAGCGCCACCCGCGTCCCCGCGTCATGGATACTCTTTTGCTAATTTACATTTCACCTTTTAACTTGACTTCGTAATCTGTTCCACTTGGAACCTCAGAAAGTTTGATTCTTCTTCTTCTTTTTAAATAGATCAACTCATTTCTTCAAGGTGTTTCCTTTAACAACTCAGTGGGAGAAACGGTATCATTTAATGATAACAGGGAAATGAGAGGAGGATTTGATATCATGAATCTGGTCACATTCCCAAACACGTCTTTCCAGAGAGTAAAAGTTGGATCGGTGAGTCTCAGTGATAGAGGAAATAATGAGTTAATCATCAATGAGGACAAAATTTTATGGCACCAAAGTTTTAACCAGGTACGGATTATAGTTACTCACCTGCAGAGAGTTTGCAGGTAAAAGTAAAGCTACTAAATAACAACAGGAATAAGAAGACCAACAATGATGTCTAGTGCATGCAGAAATATGATGCGAAATTGATATGCCAAATCTCCCTTTTCTCACTTTGAAATCAGTATTACCTTGAAAGTGCACTAAAAATAAAGCATAAGATTGTCCTGTGGGTGCCATATAGGAAAGCACTTCTCCCCCCAACTTTCCCATATTTTTGTACAGGTGCTTCCCTGTTCTTTGTGCAATGAACCCTGCCACTCTGGTCATCAGAAGAAAAGGAAGGAAGGGGAAAAGTTTTGTTGCTATGATTGTGCTCCATGCCCAGAGGGGAAGATTTCAAACCAGACTGGTAGGTAAAGCTCTTGCATCCTGATGACCAAACAAAGAGACTGATATACAGGTGGGGCTTGAGCTGGGCCACTTATATTTAGTGAACATAACAAGATCAGCAGATGAGGATAAATTCAAAAGGCAGAACTGTAGCCATTGGGTGACACAAAGGGCTTTTTTAAAGCCAGAACACACTGGAAATCAGTGCTGGTACCTCTCAGAGAATGAGGGAGGTGTTCATGGTGAGTTGAAGATATTGATTCCTTTCCTAGCTGGTCAGTTTCGGAGCAGAGCCTGCTCCCCTTCCATACATAAATCCTGAAACAAAGAAGCCCTGTGAGATGCATCATCTTTGGAGGAAACTCAAAGCAAACTAAGGCATAGGAGGAATTAGGAGCGTGGTAACCCAGTGACACGGGTTACCACAGGACGCGGGTGGCGCTGTGGGTTAAACCACAGAGCCTAGGATATGCTGATTAGAAGGTCGGCAGTTCAAATCCCTGCGACGGGGTGAGCTCCCATTGCTCGGTCCCTGCTCCTGCCAACCTAGCAGTTCGAAAGGACGTTAAAGTGCAAGTAGATAAATAGGAACTGCTCCGGTGGGAAGGTAAATGGCGTTTCCGTGCGCTGCTCTAGTAATGCTGGCCAGATGACCCAGAAGCTGTACGCCGGCTCCCTTGGCCAATAAAGCGAGATGAGCATCGCAACCCCAGAGTCGGTCACGACTGGACCTAATGGTCAGGGGTCCCTTTACCTAACCCAGTGACAACCTAGGCATACCCTGAATTGACAGGAGCTATGAAAGGAAAAGCCTCAGGCCAGCAAAGGAAAGCATTTGCTACCCTACAATCTCTGGTCACCTTTTGATTTTGAAACTCTGCCTGACTCTGCTTTGCTTTGCAATTGTGCTAGCAGATTAATTGCTGCTTCACCTGAGGATGTAAGAATCCTCAGGTATCAATCCAGCTACGACTGTGGGAGTGAGAAAAACCAAAAGCTCCAGCAAAGGAGAGAAAACTTTGATAGGCTAGAATGTGGTTCTTCAAAAGATAGCAACTAGCAGGCTGCAAGTGATAGGGAGCAGAGAGAGGCCCTTGCACTAATGAACAAGCATTAGAAGGGCTGGGAATCAAACCAAAGATTTGCTCCTCATATAAGGCCCTAAAGCAGACCTCCCCATCTCATACCACTTTTAAATGTGGCAATATGTTGACTGCTGGTTGGTGTGATGTGTCTCTTGGCCAATGTGCCACAAATGTGCCTTGGTAGCCAGTCCTGTGGTGGAACAGCCATAATGTACAATTTGTCACAGGGTTCATTCAATGGGCTAGGTCAGAAGAATTGGCGCTGGATTTCTATATATACATTTCATTATTTTTCTCAGATATGGACGTATGTTTCAATTGCCCAGAAGATCAGTATCCAAACAAGAAGAGAAATGGATGCATCCCCAAAGTTATACATTTTCTGTCTTATAAAGAACCTTTAGGGATCACTTTAGCCTCAGTTTGTGTCTTATGTTCTTTGATTACAGTTTTGGTGTTGGCTATTTTTATCCAACACAAAGATACCCCCATAGTCATAGCCAACAACCGAGATCTCACCTACACTCTCCTGGTCTCCCTTCTGCTCTGCTTCCTCTCCTCTTTGCTTTTCCTTGGCCAACCTGGGAAAGTGACTTGCCTTCTCCAACAACCTGCTTTTGGCATCATCTTCTCTGTTGCTGTTTCTTGTGTGTTGGCCAAGACCATCATTGTTTTTGTAGCATTCATAGCCACAAAGCCAGGATCTAAGATGAAGAAATGGGTGGGAAAGAGACTGGCTCATTCCATTGTCGTTTCAGCTTCCCTCATTCAAGTGGGTATCTGTACTCTGTGGCTGATAACATCTCCCCCTTTCCCTGATCTAGACATGAATTCAGTAGCTGAAGAAACCATTGTGCAATGTAATGTTGGGTCTGTCACCATGTTCTATTGTGTCTTAGGCTACATGGGCTTCTTGGCCATTGCTAGTTTCATTGTGGCCTTCCTGGCCCGCAAGTTACCTGACAGTTTTAATGAAGCCCAGTTCATTACCTTCAGTATGTTAGCATTTTGCAGTGTTTGGGTCTCTTTTGTTCCCACCTACCTGAGCACAAGAGGGAAACACATGGTGGCTGTGGAGATCTTCTCCATCCTGGCCTCCAGTGCTGGATTACTGAGTTGTATCTTTTCCCCAAAATGCTACATCATTGTGCTGAGGCCTGAACTGAACAGCAGGGATCGATTAATACGAAGAAAGGATTAAGCCATCTCTCTGGTCTCATCATACCTTAATTGGTGTTGGAGAAGGCAGTTGGGAGAAAGTACATGCATACAACACTAGTTATAGACATTCGTATTAAAGTTGTCATTACATTTCACTACAATGTTTAAGCTGCATTTCAATTTCCCTGTTAGGATACAGTACCAAATGGATTGTTCAGATGTCTGACAGGTTCTATGAAGAAATATTCGTATTTAATGGATACTGAAATAGCTGAAATTTTCTATGTCACGCACATATTTTTGATTGTCATATAATGGACTCCCTTTTCTACTCAGGCCTTCATTGGACATTGGTAGCTGCGATGGCTTCCTTCATTACTGTATTTGAATTTCTCATTTTATCAGTTGAAAAAACAAACCTATTTGTGTATTATTACATGTGCTGTGGTTTCTTTCTCTTTCTATCTTTATTCTGGGAGTGAATATGAGTGGGGATTTTTACTCAGTCCAGCGGTGTTCCTTTCCCCCCACCATGCTCTTCAACATCTGTATGGCAGCTTTGGGAGTGCTGAACTTGGAGTGAAGTCTAATCAATATCCTGATGGAGCTAAGACTTCTTCTCCCTGACCTAAGAATTAGCTGCTTGATTGGTGTCTGGAGTCATTCATGGGCAAATTAGGGTTTGAGAATAAAGCTAAACATAGAGGTGTGTGGAGTATGGCTATTGGATCTGGGAAGCAGGAAGGTGACCTCTTCTAGATGGGTTGCCCTACCCTTGACAATACAGGTGCATCATCTGGTGCAAATATTCTGGCCTGTGATTTGAAACCTCTTGCCATCTTTGGAGGCTATAATTTTCTTTGAAACTCATCCTGTACCCACTTACTTGGAGGTAATCAATAAACACAAGGAGACATGCTTCTTAGTAGGCATGTATACTGGGAGTTAACAGGCTCTGGTCATAAGCTGCTGCACAGCAGGAGCCCACCTAAATCACACTGCATTCACATTTTGTTGAGTTGGTTCTTTAACACCCTCCCATGCTGATTGTGTAGCAGTACTTGCAAGAAATATCTTCTATAGGGTTCAACTCAGATGAACCAACCTTAGGAAAGTACATCCTGGTTACCATGGGCAAATGAACAGCAAATTATGGAAATATCAAGAACTACTAGAGAACAAGACAGAATCAAGGGTAGTCTACTGAAAGGTAGTGGGGAAAGAAAAACTTGAAAAGACTCCACAGATTTCTATTGTCTGGGGTTGAAACAACTCACATATGATTCACAGCCCTGACTTCATTCATTGGTTGATAACACTGACAAAAGCAACCAAGGATGCTCATATCTAAAAAAAAGAATACAGAAAAGTGTAACTCAACATGTCATTGTTTTCCTTCTAGGAGATATTGAGGATTATTTTTTAAAAATTCACAGTCTGGGGCCCTTGTCTGGGGTTCACTCACCATTGAACTTTTCACTCAATTTCCCATGTCTGAGTCCTTCAGGGACCAGAGCCAACTTGTTATTCCATCTGGAAAAAATTAATACAAAAGTAAAAAGTTTTTGAGCAAATGTGCCGCTCAAACTCTAAATTGTAATGAAGTAATTATCTCCCTCTGCAATTATCTAGATCATAATAATTTGTTCAGCTAGACAGAGCTCTGAAGAGTTTCCTTAGGACATCAGGAAACAGTCAACAACCCAGCATAGTAAGAGTATTAAATACGCTCCTGTGCCAGTGAGACGTAGGAGTGTGGGGTATCGAGAGAGGGGGAGGTCATTATTGTCAACATTTGTTTTATGATTATAATGGAGTTTTAATCATTTAAGTTCATATTCAAAGCATTTGTACGCCTGCTCGTGCTAAAAATAAGGCTCACACTGCATCCTCCAAGACTGTTCAATTGTGTTTGGACAACTCTGCATCTTCCAAGAGAGATTTTGAAGCTACCATGGTGAGGCTCCTGATGCTGCTGCTGCTGCTGCTGCTGCCTCACACAATGTGCAAAGGCAGGAGAATGAAGTGCCCTGCAGCTGATCCAATATTCGTGCCCCATGAATGGGGTCAAGCAGGGGACCTCTTCATTGGTGGAATTGTTACTCAGAGCACCTACGTTTTTAATGAAGTTTCATTCACGGTACATCCTTCTCAGGAGCTGTTTGACGTTCCACAGTAAGCAAGAATATTCCCTCCACCTCTATTTATTCTACGCTCCACTGAATCAGGAAAGTACAATAACAAACAGCTTTGCATGTGAGATTATATGTTCAAAGATATTATATTTAGAAATATTTATTTATTGATTGAATTTATATACTGCCCTATACCCAGAGGTGGTTCACAGATTAAAATCATGATAGAAATCCACAATTTATAGAATCAAAATAAAAACAACAACCCAATACCCCCCCAAAAAAGAACCACATTTTAAAAGGGCATAGGGTGTCAATCAAATCAAGCAAAGGGCTTGTTAAAATTGAACGTTTTTGCCTGGTGCCTAAAGGTGTATGATAGAGACAGACGAAGCTGATGGTAGGCACTCAGGGCCACTGAGGCCACCTGAGCCTTGAGTGACAGCAAAGAATCCAGGAGTACCATGAAGCTACGAACCTGCTCCTTCAGAGGAAGTATAACCCCATCAAGAGCAAGTGCTCTCCAACCCATCTGGTCTAGGCAACCACCCACTAACAGTGCCTCTGTCTTATCTGGATAGAGCTTCAGTTTGTTGACTCTTATCCAGCCCATTACTGAGGCAAGACACTAGTCCAGAACTTCCACTGCCTCACCTGCAGATGTAAGGGAGGAATACAGTTGAGTGTTGTCAGCATACTGCTGACAATGTATTTCAAAGCTCCAGATAACCTCACCCAGTGGTTTCATGTAGACATTGAACAATGTAGGGGATAGGATTGAGCCAGGTGAAACCCCACACTGAAGGTTCCACAGGGCTGAAAGGCATTCCCAAGTAACACTGTCTGGAAACGACCATCCAAGTAGGAATGGAACCACCACAAAGCAGTGCCCCTAGTTCAGACAGTCGCTCCAGAAAGATACCAGGGTCAATGGTATTGAAAGCTGCTGAAAGGTCAAGAAAAATTACCAGAGATATGTTTCCCTTGCCTCTTTCTCAACAGAGGTCATCATACAGGGCAATCAAAGCAGTTTCTGTGCCAAAACCATATGGATCCAGAAAATCAGTTTCTTCCAAAAGCGCCTGGATCTGGTCTGTGACCACTTGCTCCAGAACCTTGCTCAGGAAAGGGATATTAGCAATTGGCTGGTAATTAGTTGGGTTTTCTGAATCCAGGGAAGGTTTCTGAATGAGTAGTTTTACCACTGCCTCCTTCAAACAAGCAGGGACCACCCTCTCTCATATAGAGGCACTGATCACCTCCCTGGCCCAACTGCTGGTTTTTACCAGCCAAGAGGGGCAAGGGTTTAGAGCGCTAGTGGTCACCCTGACTGATCTGAGCACCTTGTCCACATCCTCGAGCCTTACCAACTGAAACTCATCCAACGCAACAGGACTAGACCGTGCTGTGGACACCCCATGAGATTCATCTGTTATAACAAGGTTTTGGTGAATGCAAGCAATTTTATCCCTAAAATGCTTTGCAAGCAAGTCACAATGAGCTACCGTTGGTTCTATCACCTCCTTTGGGACAGAGTGTAAAAGGCCCCGTACAACCTGGAAGAACTCTGCCAGACGTCATAATGAAATTGTTCAATCCAGGGTCAGTTCTCCTTCTGAACTGCTTTCTGAATATTCTGCATTAGACTGAGATTATAGAATATATTAAATTTTCTTTTTGGAAAGCAAGCTCCATGTGAGGGAGAAGCAGCATGCTTGGTGATGCAGAGCAAGAAAAATATTCTGCTGACAGTAGGTTCTTTCCCCCCTGCTTAATGAGATTGAGAGCAAGAAAATGGTGGAGTGGCAGGCATCTTTGCCAGAATGGCACCTCAGTAAGAAACAGTCAATCCTCAAATCCCTTGTTAATCAAATAGAAGAAAATTATAAAATGTATAAGCATATGTGCGTATATATTCAAACTGATTTGAAACCTGACTGAACAGAGAGCTAAATAAAACCAACATATTGACAAAAGCATAGGGGACTCCTGAAACACCTTAAAGGCTTAACAGTACTTTATTCCATAAGCTTGTGTGGAACCCCATGATGTTCAGGAGATGAGTCTTCCTCACTAGCATAATTTCAGGTTTACAGGAATATACAGTGGTACCTCGGGTTAAGAACTTAATTCGTTCTGGAGGTCCATTTTTAACCTGAAACTGTTCTTAACCTGAGGTACCACTTTAGCTAATGGGGCCTCCCATTGCCGCTGCTCCACCAGAGCACAATTTCTGTTCTCATCCTGAAACAAAGTTCTTAATCCAAGGTACTATTTCTGGGTTAGCGGAGTCTGTAACCTGAAGCATCTGTAACCTGAAGTGTCTGTAACCCAAGGTACCACTGTAATCTGGCTAGAGCTCTAGTAGTCTGTCCTGTGTAGGACCACCTGCTCCAACACTTGGTACCTTTTGATGCCACCAAGAACTGTACCTTCCATTTTATGAATTATACTACATATGATTTTATTTTGTTCTTATGTCACAAGGATTATTTTGAATGACAATAACAGGTCTACCCCCTTCATGGATCACTGCCTTGGATCACAGGTTTATGTGGCCCTCGTAGTGAACAAAAGAGTGGCAAAAGCTGTACTGGGATGCAATCTCAAAAATGATAGAATGATCTCGATACGAATCCAAGGCAGGCCTTTTAACATCACAGTAATCCAAGTTTATGCACCAACTACTGGTGCTGAAGAAACTGAAAATGACCAATTCTATGAAGACTTACAAGACCTTATAGAAGTGACACCAAAGAAGGATGTTCTTCTCATTATAGGGGATTGGAATGCTAAAGTAGGGAATCAAGAGACAAAAGGAACAACTGGCAAGTTTGGCCTTGGAGATCGAAACGAAGCAGGGCAAAGGCTAATAGAGTTCTGTCAAGAGAACAAGCTGGTCCTCACAAACACGCTTTTCCAACAACACAAGAGACGACTCTACACGTGGACATCACCAGATGGGCAGCATCAAAATCAGATTGATTATATTCTCTGCAGCCAAAGATGGAGAAGCTCAATACAGTCAGCAAAAACAAGACCAGGAGCTGACTGTGGCTCTGATCATCAGCTTCTTATAGCAAAATTCAAGCTTAAACTGAAGAATGTAGGAAAAGCCACTGGGCCGGTAAGATACAATCTAAACCAAATCCCTTATGAATACACAGTGGAAGTGAGGAACAGGTTTAAGGATTTAGATCTGGTGGACAATGTGCCTGAAGAACTATGGATGGAGGCTCACAATATTATACAGGAGGCAGCAACGAAAACCATCCCAATGAAAAGGAAATGCAAGAAAGCAAAGTGGCTGTCCAACGAGGTCTTACAAATAGCAGGGGAGAGAAGGCAAGCAAAATGCGAGGGAGATCGTGAAAGATACAGGAAATTGAATGCAGATTTCCCAAAAATAGCAAGGAGAGACAAGAAGGCCTTCTTAAATGAGCAGTGCAAAGAAATAGAGGAAAACAACAGAATGGGAAGAACCAGAGATCTGTTCAGGAAAATTGGAGATATGAAAGGAACATTTCGTACAAAGATTACCATAGTAAAGGACAAAAGTGGTAAGGACCTAACAGAAGCAGAAGACATCAAGAAGAGGTGGCAAGAATACACAGAGGAATTATACCAGAAAGATATGGATGTCTCGTACACCCCAGGTAGTGTGGCTGCTGACCTTGAGCCAGACATCCTGGAGAGTGAAGTCAAATGGGCCCTAGAAAGCACTGCAAATAACAAGGCCAGTGGAAGTGATGGTATTCCAGCTGAACTATTTAAAATTTTAAAAGATGATGCTGTTAAGGTGCTACACTCAATATGCCAGCAAGTTTGGAAAACTCAGCAGTGGCCAGAGGATTGGAGAAGATCAGTCTATATCCCAATCCCAAAGAAGGGCAGTGCCAAAGAATGCTCCAACTACCGCACAATTGCACTCATATCACACGCTAGCAAGGTTATGCTTAAAATTCTACAAGGAAGGCTCAAGCAGTATGTGGACCGAGAACTCCCAGAAGTGCAAGCTGGATTTAGAAGAGGCAGAGGAACCAGAGACCAAATTGCAAACATGCGCTGGATTATGGAGAAAGCTAGAGAGTACCAGAAAGACATCTACTTCTGCTTCATTGACTATGCAAAAGTCTTTGACTGTGTCAACCACAGCAAACTATGGCAAGTTCTTAAAGAAATGGGAGTGCCTGATCACCTCATCTGTCTCCTGAGAAATCTCTATGTGGGACAAGAAGCTACAGTTAGAACTGGATATGGAACAACTGATTGGTTCAAAATTGGAAAAGGAGTACGGCAAGGCTGTATATTGTCTCCCTGCTTATTTAACTTAGCGCAAAATATGGTCTGAAGCTCAACATCAAAAAAAACGAAGATCATGGCCACTGGTCCCATCACCTCCTGGCAAATAGAAGGGGAAGAAATGGAGGCAGTGAGGAATTTTACTTTCTTGGGCTCCATGATCACTGCAGATGGTGACAGCAGCCACGAAATTAAAAGATGTCTGCTTCTTGGGAGAAAAGCAATGACAAACCTAGACAGCATCTTAAAAAGTAGAGACACCTTGCCAACAAAGGTCCGTATAGTAAAAGCTATGGTTTTCCCAGTAGTGATGTATGGAAGTGAAAGCTGGACCATAAAGAAGGCTGATCGCCGAAGAATTGATGCTTTTGAATTATGGTGCTGGAGGAGACTCTTGAGAGTCCCATGGACTGCAAGAAGATCAAACCTATCCATTCTTAAGGAAATGAGCTCTGAGTGCTCACTGGAAGGACAGATCGTGAAGCTGAGGCTCCAATACTTTGGCCACCTCATGAGAAGAGAAGACTCCCTGGAAAAGACTCTGATGTTGGGAAAGATGGAGGGCACAAGGAAAAGGGGACGACAGAGGACAAGATGGTTGGATAGTGTTCTCGAAGCTACCAGCATGAGTTTGTCCAAACTGTGGGAGGCAGTGGAAGACAGAAGTGCCTGGCGTGCTCTGGTCCATGGGGTCACAAAGAGTCGGACACGACTAAACGACTAAACAACAACAACAACAACA